ACAAACTTCCGAACCAGCAGTGGAAATGCAGTGGTAGTTGGAAATGGGGCATGAATCAGCTGACCTTATCTCCAGAACTGAGAAAGCTAGGAAGTTGAAGTTGACATGATCACTGCGCGGGGTAACGATGGGCCGATTATTCATCGATTCGCACAAATGATTAAACCCCGTCTTCAACTGAATGGTGGCATAATGTGGAGTTTTCCCCATTCCCCCTTCCCCTCCCCCAGACCATGAGAGACGGCACTTCGAAGTTTGCTGCAAAAACGCATGATCGCACCGGCTCGCCTGGTGCGTTCCAGCCTGGATTTAAATTAGAGTGCGCTTCCGCATAAGCGAGAATCCTCCCATGAAAATTATCCGGTTGTCTAATGAAGTGTAATTTGAGGTGTGAGCCATCAGTCTGTTACCGAGCTCGACTTGTGTGCAATCGCTGGCGTACAGCCATCGACGAGATGGACGAGGAGAGCCGAAAGGCAATACTTAGTGAAGGGCATGCTCGTTTGTTCATATGTGATCGACGCCGGTTCGTTATTATTTATTTCCCTCGGGATAACGAGGATGTAGCTTATGTGTTTGAAAAGATTTACTTGTGTCATGGAACTAACCCGCTCCTCGCACTTGACCAATTTCAGTGGGTCCGTCATGCTTGTCTTTTGATAAGCGGCTTTGGCGTTGTCTGCCGAACTTGTTGAGACATACGTCATGCACATCTGATGCTGCGATTTGGCTTACAAGCGCCGGCCAATATAGCAAAAAAATGCAGCGATTGCTATATCTGAAATTGCCTGTTGCACTTTGTCCACTGACCCATTTCGCTAAATTTCAGCTTTTCAACTCCATCACTTGTGTGTTATGCTAATGCGAACAGCAGATAGCACCGCAGCAGCTCGTACACAACATTATATGTATGCGTGTGATATTATATACATATATATATATACACATATATGTATCATCACATGCATATACATGCACACACACACACACACACACACACACAAACACATGCACATGTACGCATCTGTATACTCACATGCAAATGCGCACACGTACACATACACACACAGACGTGCATGCATACAGGCATGCACAGAGGCGTATGCTTATGCACACATACGCATTGTTAATGCTCAGAGCAGACATAAGCCGTGTTAATGTGCAGCTGAATCTTTTTGACCCCAGTAGACGTTCATGGAGAGAACTTCGAAATAGGCCGATTCATAGCATGGCGAAGAAGTGGTTAGGTCTCACTACTTCTTGGTCCAGTATTTTTGACGCGCACTTTCCGAAGTCATTTTCAGTGCAATCCTGGAGAAGTTCTGCAGCCTTCCATCATGCTCCTACACCGTTGCCGAGCTCACAACACCACGAAAATCGGTGTTTTTGGCCGACTGTTTCGCACATACGGCCTTCAACAGCTGGGCCTACCGTTTTGACGTGTCGCAGTGGATTCGCAATTTCGACATCGTTGAGGTACTTCTCGATGCTGTTTTTGGGAGACACTTGATGTGCACTTTAAGACTCACTTTAAAGCAAGTAAAACCTAGGTTGGGACGCACCGAGCGGGCCCGTGCGACCATGCGTTTTTGCACCAGACTTGAAGTACTCAGGTCATTAATTGCATGAATGGTTGTTACTTTGCACCTACTTTTGCGGTCATTAGCATATATCACCACAAATTTTGCATAAAGTAAATGTACAATTTCCATTTAACGATCGTTTTTTAAATGTAACCTGTTTGTTCAGTCAAAAATTCATCCAGAATTTTAGTGCCCGTACGTAAGAACCACGCATACCTTAAGACTGAAATTGAAATACTTAAGTTGTTTTGGAACATCCCCCTAAGATTTCAGCTTCCTAGCTTTTCTGGTTCTCAAGTTAGTATGCCGCAGAAAATTTCATACGCCCTTACGTGAGAACCACGCATACCTGGGGGCTGAATTTGAAATCTCTAGCTAGCACATGTACAGCGAATACTCCTACAAAGTTTCAGCCCCTTACTTTATCTGGTTCCCGAAATCGCTTTCTCGCCAAAAAA